GGACTTGGTAAAAGAGGGATGCATGGGGAGGAGATTGAAAGACTGCTGTTTGGTATTTAGGGAATACTACAAGATATGAAGGTGTGAAGGAAAATTGATGGACAGATGCTAGCTGAAACCAAGAAAAAAGAAAACAACATGCCATGTGTGACTTTTGAGCATTTAATAACGGTGAAGGAAAGGTCGAAAAGGCAACTGATGGGGCATTTAGGCAAAAATGGAAAGTGAAAGGTGAGAGGCGGCAGAGAGATGGAGGAATGAGGGAGACGCCGGAGATTAACCTAGGGTAGAGATGGGAAAATAGCAAAAAGAGAGAAAAGGAGAATGAGAGAGAAGTGGGAGATTTGGGGTATATATGGAAGAGAGAGTTCCAAAGAAAAGCACATTGTCCTTATCGGTCTGCTCCAGAAAGCCTGCTCCCTAATGGGTCCAGTGTGAAGGGGAAATGAGGACTAGGCCTGATGCTGCCTGATTAGCCATTGACTCAAATACACATCAAAGCTATGAAGGGAGGGGAAGTGCAAGGTGTGTGCTTGCGTGACTGCGCGAGTCTGCACGTGACGGTGGAAGATGAGTCACCTTCACCTCCTTCCCTGGGACCACCAATGAAAAACGCCCTCCCCCCCCCCCCCCCAACCCTCCCCACGAGCACATATGCCGGCACATGGCCATTTTCTTCAACCTTGAAAGAGAAAGCTGCTGTGAATAAGGTGATCCTCTGAATGCGGGTGTAGAGGGGACGAGGGGTGGAGGAGGAGGTGGGGTAAGGAGACAAAAAGGTGGTCGTAGGCGTGGATATGGTGAAAAGAGGTGGAAAAAAATGACGAGAGACGTCAAGAAGAGTCATCGTGCTGCAGATTAGTGGTAAAATGAAATTAGCTTTTTAGCTAATGGTGTATAAAGACAGCTCTGTTAGTTTTCAGTTAAAATGCAGCAGACCAGTGTGTGTCTTAGGCTCAGTAAATGGCCTCTCCATTTAGATCGCTTAAGTGAGTTTTGGGTGTTTCATGACACCAACACCAAAAGTCCTGATACCAATTGACACAAATGCAATGATATTCTCTTGTGTTGTGTCCAATCCCAACTCCAAGACGGATACTTCTTTAGATCAGGTTTTAATAAACATGCAAAGACATGCGGCATTGAGTTCTTCTCATTAAATGAAGATTATTTCAAAGGGCCAAAAATGTTCAAACTGACACTGTGATCACATTTGACAAACACGAGTTAAATGTCAGATAAAATAAATAAAAATAACTACTTTCTTTGTAGTAAAACACAGCCAGCTGAACAGAAAGTGACCAGAGCTTTTACACAATTAGCAACAAATACTAGTAAAACAGCATCTCTTAAACTCAGTAACTCTGTTTGGACTGCTGAGATTTTTGACCTGCTTAAATAAAGAAGAAATAAAGATGTGT